AAGGTGTATTGAAAAGAACAGGATGGCCAGAGCAGATGGTTGTAAACAGTGTGCTTTGACAAAACGTGAAGTATAAAGCCCAAGTGAAAGAGAAAACTGTCCCAGGAGGATTAAAGACAGTTTTTGCATCCTGCAAGTCCCTTTTCATCCCTCCTTCTGCTCCTTCTACCATCCATCCCACAGGGCTGTATGGAAGGCAAGCCTGCAGTTATATCTTGAGCTTCTTCTGGGACAAGGAAACACTGTCTGATCTTCAAAGGTCTGGCACAGCAGTAGGAGGCTGTGTGAGTTACTTCTGTCATTGCTATTAGCACAGAATCACAGAATGATTTGGGGTGGAAGGCACCTTTAAGATCATGTAGCTCCAACCCCCCTGAATTGGCAGGGACATGTTCCACTAGACCAGATTGCTCAAAGGCCCCATCCAATCTGGATATTATTTATTAGACCAGGCAGGAGGGCATGAAATGTCACCTTTTTTGCAACACACCTGCACAGATCTTATCCCTGTGGGATGGCAAAGGTGACTGTGGAGTTCTTGTTCTTTGCTTGCTTTTATTTCTTGTTTCTGTGTTACAGCTCCAAGACTCCCAGAGTTCAAGGACTGTTTGGACAATATTCTTTGACCCGTGGTGGGATTCTTGGGGTGTCCTGCACAGGGCCAGGAGTAGGACTCAATGATTCTGGTAGGTCCATTCCAACTCAGCACATTCAATGATTCAGTGACATTACAGATACAGATGTAGAAAGGCAGCAGGTGCAAGCACCACATGGACTTCACCAGAAGGTTTCTTTGGTCTGGAGGATATGTAAAGATGGCATGAAATAAGATGATTTTTACCTGTCATAAATTCATGTGGGTGTGGTTCTGCTGGGGCTGTCAGCAGAGATGTTCCCTGACCTCTTTGCATGTCCTTTAAAAAATAGGAACTGGAAAGTTTTGACCAGAAGAAAAAACAGTATTTATAGCAGGGCTTCCAGTGATATATGTAAAGGGGACATTGGTGTTAGCACAGCTTATCAGCATATGGAGGGGCCCTGTGAGCTGCAGAGGTGACCTGCTAGATGTGCCCCACCAATTGAGCAACTAAAATGACATCTGCATGAGCAACTGATAAGCACTGCCTCTGAGAATTGAGAAATCATCACAAAGAGCTGTGATGAGCAGCTGGGTACATGGTGGGTGACACCTTCCTGCAAGCCTGCACCCCTTCTCTTCCCAGCAAAACCCCACAAACTTTCCACAGAGGGGCAGAAAAACCCAGGGAAGTTGTTAATTCATTAACTTAATTTTGCAGGTAATTAAGTGTTTGTGTTTTGGGTAGATTTTACTGCAGTTCACCCATTCCACACCATCTCCTGTGCCAAGGGTGGAATCTTATGTCTGAAAATTGTGAGACACTAAAAATCCTTACATTTTAACTGAGATATCTATATAGTACACAGGAATGGGTTAACTTCTGAAGGCTGCTTTCAGCCACAGTCCATAATTTTGCAGCAAAGATTGTACCTCTTACAGGACTTTAGAGATTACAATGGTAGAGTTTCAAGAAGAAAATTGTATTAAAATCTCTTCAGGTGTAGCTGCTGTTCTCAGCGAACAGGCACTGGCTTCAAACAAGCAGGGACACAAAGTAAACAACACACGCTAATGCTCAGTGTCTCAGTTTTGTAGCTACTTGGATATGATGAAAACAAATCTTTAATAGCTGCTGCTTCCACCATTGCACTGCACTCTGTTTTCTATTCAGTTGCAAGGACAGCTCATTTCCAGCCACGGGAACAATGTGCTCATATTGCTAATTCATGCCACTACACACAAATGTTCAGATTATGTTGTGCAGAACCAAATTCCAGTCTCATTCATGAGTGCAACTCACACTCCAATCCAGTTCCCTAGTAGGAAGCAGGAAGCCCTGCAGCAAAGCTTGTGACAAATTAAAATCTGAAAGAGGCAATGAAAGAACATCTGATATATTTAATTATTTTTTCATAAGGTTTGAAAAGCAGACCTGGACATATAGCAGAGGATGGAACCCAGGGGAGCTAGTGTCAGAGATGATTTGAAGGCAAATGATTTGTCAGGAGGTTGGCATTCACAGAGTGCTGCACAAATTTCCCTCAATCTACTGCCTCGCTGTTTTGGTTTGTGGTGATGTGTGTTTGCAGACAGGTTATTTTGATATAGAGAATTTGGGGGTGGATAATTTAAAGACTAAAGTAGAGTGCAGACTAATCTTGGGGGAATACAAGGTAAAAAGGTGTGTTAACTGCTGCTGAGAGCAGGGGCTGGGCATCTGAAGTGGCTGATACAGCCTTTTTGTGACACATGCTCGGTGGTCTCTGGTCCTGGGGCACCAGCAGCCCACCCACAAGCCAGGGGGACACGAGATCAGATCTAAACTGAGATCCTGCCCAATCCCTTGGCAGTCTGGGGAGCTGCCTACACACCCCAAAGTGCTATCTACCTTTGCTAATTCCCTTCCTGAGTTACCACCAGCCCCTGGCACTCCAGGGATATGTGGGAAGCTGGAGAGGCCCACTTTGGCAGGGAATATTTATCTTAGGGAAAATTACACCATCTCTGCCTGTGTTTTGATTCACCTTCTGTGCCTGCATGGGCCAGAATATCTTCCATGAATGGGGCCAACCAGCTGATCCTCCTGCTTTGGAGCTAAGCTGCTGCACTTCTCTCAATATTTTCCATGATAATTTCCTTGCCACAAAGTCTGGAATATTATATTATAACTATGCTAAATGCTCCTGGGCAGCCCTGGTGACAGACGATCTTCACACTCTACACCCCAAAAGCATTTCCAAACTCTTTGCAAGAGCAGCACATACGAGCCCATGTGCATGGGCATGTACACAGCTGGTACAGACTCAGGGAATCCCTGCTTTGGGACTTCTGATCCCCCCTACACGACAGGGGGGCACCTACAGCAACACCAGGGCTGTGTCAGCTCCAGGCAAGGCAGCAGAAGACAGAGATTGATTTGACAGGATGGAGCTGACAAGCAAAGAATATTCCATTGATGGACAACCCAGAGGGTAGAGCTAAAGATTCCAGTGTTCTTGTTATGGAAGATTTTAGGCAGGTGTTGTCTGTTACCACGCTACCCCACTCGTGATTGTCTCAGATAGGACAGGTAGGCTGGGCTGGGCTGGGCTGGATCAGTCATTGTTTGGTTGGAGCCCTGCAGGGGACAGTTTCAAGACGTGGCCTTTCACTAGATGGTGCTCTTTGCTGAGCCATCGCTGTGCCTGACCCTTCTTCTTGGAGCTGGGAACTTCCAAGTGATCTGCCCCATAAGCCCTTCCTGTACAGATGGCACCAAGGCAAAGGAAAATATTTTTCCAGAGTCCCTGCTCTCATGTCCCTTATTTTATTGGAGCCATATAAGAAAAAAACTACTGCTTTATATCTGGTTGTAAGGTGTACAATGCTGGTACATTTCAGTCTCCAAAACAACCAAAATGCACAAGCATTTTTATTGTTTCAGTTGCTTTCAACTGAATCAACAGTGCATATTTTGGAAGCCAATGCCAAGTTCATGTGCAGGATTTTCAGGAGACAATCTTCTGCACCACACACAGTGTTGGTTTTTCTGTTCTACTCAGAGAGAACATGATGTACAGGAATTACCTGCAGCCTTCGCTCAGTCCTCTGATCAGCAGCAAAATCTCTGGAGAGTATTGTGAAGTGCTTTGGGCTGGTTCTCATGAAGTGACGCATGTTAAGCTCAGTGCTGATACTGCCTTTGTGCACATCATCATCCAGCCACTGCCAGGGCTAGCGGAATACACGCGTGTGCTGTAGAAAAAGCCAAGTGGAAATGCTGGGCCACCACATGTACACATTTCCAAAGAGCTTCCAACAAAAACGGTAACTGAAGGCAAGTCACCACCACAAGAGATCAGGCATCTTCACTCTGCAGGGCCTCCTCCAGCCCGGCCGCACACGGACCACAGACCACATGAGCTCATTTGCTAATGGTGGGGTGCCGTTTCCACTGCTTTTCCGGGGAAAGGCGTGGGAATGGTACGGGAGACGTTCCTCCATCAAACCTACACAACCGTAGGAGAACCAGTAAAGAGGGTGAGGAGCAGGATGAGGCTGCGGGCTGGGCCGGTGGGACTCAAGAGGAGCTGCTGGGTGTGTGACAGCTACAGATGTGCAGCAATTCTGTTCACAGCTGGACAGCTCGTGCTCTGGGCACTAGGACAGGCTTTAGCCGCTGGAAGTGAGGACACCAGGATTCCAACACCCACCAGAACAGGCCCTACAGCCGGAGCTCAGCACGTGGGAAGGCAGGATGCTAAAATCCCGGAATGGTTCGGGTTGGAAGGGACCTTCAACATCATCAGCTCCAACCTCCCCGCCATCGGCAGGGACACCTCCCGCTAGCGCAGGTTGTTCAAAGCCCCATCCAGCCTGGCCTTGAACTCTTCCAGGCATGAAGCAATGCTCAGGTCCCCCTTCGATAAAAACAAACCCGCAGCCCAAGCAGCTGCCTGCGCTCTGTCACACCCGCACCACCGCGTTACACACACGCCGCCGCCTCTCCCCCAGCAGCCCAGCAACCGGGAAGGGGCACAGGCGAGGGAGAAGCCCCCGGGGCAGGGAGCGGGGCTTTCCCCAGCGCTGCTCACGGCAGGCACGGCCGGATCTCAGCCCCAGCGAGTGCCGGCGGCCCAGAGCGGCCTCGCTCGGCCCCACTCGGCCCCGCACCGCCCAGCCCAGAGCGGCCCCGCACCGCCCGGCCCAGAGCGGCTCCGCACTGCCCCGCTGGGCCCCGTACCGCCCGGCCCAGAGCGGCCCGCTCGGCCCCGCCGGGGCGGCGCATGCGGGCTGCCCGGGCCGGGCGGGCGCGGCGGAGGCTGTGGCTCAGGTTGCGAAGCGGCAGCCCCCAGCCCTCCTCCCCTTCTTCCTGCCCGCCTCCCCGGGCGGAGAGCACCGGCCCGGCCGCCTCCTCCGCCCCCTCCCCGTCCCCGTCCCTCTCCCTTCCCTCCCGGCCCCGCTGCCAGGGGCGAAGCCGCCCGCCGGGCCCCGCGGTGAGTTTGCCCCGCCGGAGTTGGGCGAAGGGGTGGGGGAAAGTTTGGGAAGGCCGCCGGCGGGGGCGGAGGGGTGGGCGCTGCCCGGGGCCGGGGGTGTGCGGGAGCCCCCCGCCCCTTCCCGCGCCCTCGCACGCTTCCCCCGCCCTTCCTCGTCCTCGGGGGGGTTTTTCTCCGCGCAACTTCGCGTGGAGCCGCTCCGGGCGGTTCCTCTGCTCCGCGTGGCTTTATTCCTTTTCATTTCACGGCTCTTGGTAGTTTTTCATTTATTCGCAGCGTTTTCTCGCGCGGCTGCTCCCCGCCGCTATTGTCTGCGGGCCGGGGCCGGGCGCGGTCCCCCCGCAGCCGGGCGGGGGTGGCGGCCCCGCTGCCGGGGGGACGAGCCCCGCGGTGCCCGGCAGCGTGCGGGGACACGCACCGCCCGGCCCCACACCTCCCTCCGCGCTGGAATACTGATACCCCGAACGGAACCCCCCTCCCGGCTCACAGACACAACTTTGTATCTCGGTTTATTGCACGGAAAGTCACCGCAGATTCTTATCAACAGCCCCCCCGCAAAACGCTGGTGTTGGTGTGTGTCACCTTTGGGTCTCAGTGGCCTTTGGTGTCACTCAGAGGGTCATTGTCGTGGCGTCTATTTCATGCGTTCACTCTGTTTCGTGTAAATATTATTATTTTTGTTCCTTCTCAAGTGCAGACCCTTCTTCTGAAGCAAATGCAGGAGTTTCTGGATGAGGATTGCGAAATAGTTTTTCTGAACCTGTAAACTGTTGGGCTTTATTAATCCACCTTCTGTGACTGTGTTGTAACCACAAGTCATATAGAGGAGTGGGGATTTGCAGAATCTGATTTTGCTGACCTCTGGAATTGGTTCTGCTCCAGTGTCCTTTACATGGTTTCATGTTAGCTGGAGATGGGAAGTGGGAAAAAAGTGATTTATAAAAAGTTCTTTTATTTTAGGAGTGCACTGTACCAATTCTGCTGTGGATGACCAGATAGGGATTCAATAAAGGGATTAGAAATCCTGCACTGCTGTAGGACAGTTGGTCACTGTGGCTCTCTGTAATCTCCGTCAGCCGTAAAACTTTAGGTACTCATGGAGATATGCGATGCAGTAGAAATATGTAAAGCATGTAGCTTCAGAGCTGAGTTTAGACAGTTGGTCTGAGATCTATGGATGTCTTGTGTACTGGGAGTTTTGGCTAATGTAATCTAATCGGTTTTAAAGGGCCAAGCGACATTAGTTCTGTTTGTGGTGACTCTCCTTGAGTCCCTTGTTGGGTGTGTTTCTCATGTTTTGCACGCCCTTGCTGAGCTGTTGTGGAATTGTAAAGGTGAACCAGTTCAAGTTCCACATGGGTCCTTGAAGGTAAGATATCATTTACTGTGGTGTTAGAGGAGGTGTATTTTTATGCATAGATACCTTAGCAGTGGGAGTACATTGATGTTAACCTCATAACATCCCTGCCTGTGGACAGAAACTGCTGTCTGTAGTAGAGGGACATTTGCTGTGCTTCGGGACATGGTAACAGTATCTTGTTCGTACACTTGAAATTGAGTTTGTTTGGGTTTTTTGTTTTGGTTGCTTTTTTTACAAGCCTCGTAGCAGAGTAAGGGTGCATTAGGCAAGGTGAGGATCATCTGGTCGTGTGTTTTCCTTTGGCACGAGTTCAAGTGTGTACCTCTTGTCCATTTCATGGGTTGAGTCTCTCTGTCCCCATCTGTCCTTGCAGCGCTGCCCGGTGCTGGACAGACGGGCTAGCCTGGGGCTGTTGCTAGAAGGGCATGGATGTTGAGTTGTGCCAGGCAGACAGGTTTTGTAGGTAGCCTGAATGACGAGTCCCCCGCAGGTAGTGTGGATGAGCTGTGCTGTGTGGCTGTGTTCCATCCAGCCTGGATTTCCTGCCCGGCTCCGGCGGCCACGGATGGCCGGCATAGCCCGAGAGGTGAGGACACGACGTGTCCGAAGTGAGAGAGTCCAGCCAGGGACTGCAGCCAGAGAGAAAGGCAGGAGCTCGATGTTCCTGATTTACAGCTTCGCTGCATCAAAGGAGGGAAACACGTTTAAGAACTCAAAGCTTCTCAAAGGAGCAGAGCTCTGCCAGGTACTATGCGATGATGGATGTTTTTAAACACAGTCTGCATAGCGCAGCTTTGAGACTCAGGCATATGCAGAACTCACTAATCTCTCAGCAGGATATACTTGTGAGTAAGCTGTGTTCTGGTCTAGGGTACACTCCTGTGCTAAGAGGAGGATTAAGTACTGTTAAAGGAATCTGGTTATTCTATCCAAAGCATGAATTAAGAACAGCAGTCAATAAATTATCCTAGAGGAAAAAAACATTGGTAGGTTTATTGGTGGTGTTCACATGCTCCTGTGTTACAAAAGCAGCGGGGTTCTTTCATATAATTTTCTGCTGGAATATTAAGTTTTAATAAACAGCTACTTAACAAAAGAATCGTCAGTAGAGGCTGCAATGCCTGCTGTACCTATTTCTTTTGCACTGTTTCCAGGACACCAGCGTATCAGTTTTCTCTGCCTGGTATTGGTGGTGATCCACTTGCCAATAAAACCGACCTTGAAGCAGCTTGGAAGCTTTTCTGCTTATTGCTGTAGCTGGTTATCTCTGCAATCTACTTGAGTGCTATTAGATGCTATTTCTATAGGGGTTCCCCACACAGGCAATAAATAGCCTGAAGTCAGCTAAATCACACAGCTGATTGGTAGGGAGGAGCTGTTTGGTTTTGGCTTGCTTCTGCTGGTGGAAGGCAGTGCTACGAAGTTAAAAACTTGAGGAGAAGGCTCAGGAGGTCCAGGAGGCCATAAAGGCATGATATGGCCTCCCTGCGTGATTGTGGCCCCATGTTTTACCAGTCTCCTGCAAAGGGAGTTGGCAGTTGGCGTGGTTTCCAACTGGAGGATAACTCCTATTTGCAGGCACATGAGAGGCTGGATGTGGAAAGCTGGGGAGGAAAACACCTTGCAGCCTGCACCTTGTGATTACGGAGTGCTCTTTGGTGCCAAGTGCTCATGTGCTTGCTTGCATTGATCACCTGTAGGACAGATAAAGGTAAGGAGTGACGTCCTGAAGCAGCTGATAGCTCTGGTGTAGAGTCCTTGTTTGTTGCCCTGGGGTTTGCCACAGGGGATATAATCCAGGTGGGAGCCTGGTTAGGGCTGGTATGTACCACCTGCTCAGTCACATCCAGGAACAAAACTTGTTTTTAGGGTGTTGGATATAATGTGATTTTTATGAATAGCTTAGTCATGCTTTACTTTTTTTTTCCTCTTCTAAAACAGCTGTCAACAATCTCCCTGTGGGGAGGGAATCGGCCACTCCTTGTACTTACTGAATAGTCAGACACTTCAGCCTGGCATTGCACTTCTTCGTGGCTTTTGGAAACAAAGCCGTGGATGTGGCACAATGGTTTCTTTTTATTTATTTATTTATCAAGCCTGCCTTTTTCCCTTTGCAAATGACCTTTATGCAGATCTAGAAGGCAAAGCCCATCACTGGGAGTTAGCTGGTTAGTTACTTCAGTTACTGATAAGAAAATATGACGGCAGCGCTCCAGGAAAAGCAGCTATGCTGGGAACTTGTTGCTGCAGTGAAGCTATACAGATCTTTTTCAGAATGATATACCTTTATATATTTATAGTGCTTTGTCAGGGAAACAGGGTGACTCCCCTCGTAATGTCTGCATGACAAATAAGCTGTGACGCCACAAATCCTGTAAAGAGTTTATTGTCCTTCTCCAGACAGCTGGTGGAGACATGCAGTAGGTAAAAGTTTCAGTATCGTGCTAAACTTGAACTGCAGTTTTGTCATCTCTTCTCTTTGTGTGTTGGTGTAGCATAAGCAGCCTCTTCCAGTTCCCCAGCTGGGCCATGCTAGGGCTTTTTGGGTCTGTTCAGCAAACCAGACTGGGAAATGGACCCCAGATAAGAATATGTTGTTGTTTTTTTGTGTATACAGTTCATATCTTGTGTCAGTTAAGGAAAAAAAGTTCATTCTGTACCTGCATCAGTTACCTGACACATGTTCCTTTGTGTTAAGAAAAGCAGCTGCTGTGGCAGGGGGTTGGAAGCTTCCACCAGGAGAGACCTAAACTCTTGGAAATGCTTTTCCATTTGCAAAGAAGGCATTTGACTGTGGTGCCCATCCCTTTTTTATAGCATGTGAAGACGGCATGGGAGATAGATGTTTCTGAGATAAGCCAGTTAGCTAAAAGTCAAAGTGTTTAATTTTTAAGTTCTGTAAGACAGCAGTTCAAGAGCAAAGAGAAATCCATGCAAAATAAGTTCTGCCATTTCAATAATGTTTTTTAAAATTTTCTTTATAATCATTTTAGATAGGTTGCTATGTTATTGAGGAACAGGGGAAGAAAGTGCAATTACAAATATTTTTATGTAGTCAGCAGTCCTTAAAAAGTACAAAGTGTGATACCTTGGAAAAAGTAAGCTTTAGTTCTGTTGTAGCTCTAATGGATCACATGTTGTGACATGGTCAGGCACTCTAATAAGACTATATATATTGAGAAGAAACTGACAAATCTAATGCTGAAGAGTTTATTGGGCGTTTTGTAATATGCATGAGAAAAAGGTTAATTTTTTTGTTGGCATAGCAATGAAGTTCTCACAGTCCAAGTGCTCAAATATTTAATCTAGGCTTGGAGAAAACATAAGGAAAAATTAGCCCTGAAACTAATATCAGCATCTTCTACAGCACTTGTGTTGAGGGCTTGAAATACAGTATATTCCAAGCATGTTTTGGTTGTGAGGTTGGGTTTGTTGCCTGTGGGCGAGGTCTGCTGGCAGTGTGGGCCTTAGGGGCTTCCACGGTGGGTGGAGGACCTTGACCGTGGCCTTGGCTGCAGAATCCAGAGTGGTGCTTCTTCACCAGTGAACTTGTAATTCTGCAGGTTTTCTTGACAAAGTTAATTCTCCTGGACCACCTGGATTTTTTTCTTGAATCTCTTTCCGCTTATAAAGACTGTGA